CAAAATGAAAGACAGCCTAAATAATTTTTGATGCTTAGAAGGTAAAATAAAAACAAACTATATTTGCAAAGACGGAGTAAAAAAAAAAATAAAACTAAAGTGAATGAAAAAAGAAAGATAGAAATAAAACCAAATAGAGAGAATAGGATTTCAAACAAATCATGACGAAATAAAGAATGGTTAAAGTCGAAAATAGAGAGGTAAAGAATGAAAGAGAAAAATGATGAAAAATCGAATGAACGAAAGTAGAAATGAATAAATGATAGAAAAAAGAAAGAAAGTAGAAAACTAATAAATGAATGAACGAAAAAACCAACTCGCGTAGGTAAATGAAACATTAAGAAGGACAATGTAGAAGGAAAATGGCTGAAAATGAATAAAGAAAAAGATAGAAAGATAGATAGATATATAATGATAAAACTGAGATAGATAGATAGATAGATAGATAGATAGATAGATAGATAGATAGACATCAAACTGTAATACCAGACTAACACAAAATTGCTCAATATCAGGATTCTCTTGCTTCGAATGATATTTATCAAGCGAATCCTGCAGACCATCAATTCGTTTCGTAAATTCTCGGCTTATGGACGCCTCCTTCATATGTACTTGTACCAGACTAAAGTAACTAAAATAAATATCGGCAAAGAAAGTAATAAGTTAGGAAGGCCAAGAAAGCAGACAGACTACATCTATAAACTATGCAAAAAGACGAGTAAAGATGACTTCAATTTGCTGGTGAGAGAGCGGGAAATTGAAAAAAATTATTTTGTCCGAGCTGCGACACGACAGAAACAGGTCTAGTCATTTCCGTCCCATTTAATTGCCAATAACAAATTTCACAGCCTCTTTGACAAACAAGCAGTTCTTTGACATCATCTTGTCTTCCCTCGGGCGACGGACAAGCCAACTGTGGTCAACTGAGAGATCGTTCAGCCATGGCTACCTGTTCGTCCAACGGTAGAGAATTTTTTTATGCCAAGCACGTCCGCCGGCAAGCTAGAATTCATATTCATTATATTTACACTTGAATGTCTCACATACGTATTAGCTATTCAATACGTACATCTTGGTTCAATCCGGATTATCTCTATTCTTTCTCAGATGGTAAGACATCAATATTCTCCGAAAAATATATTAAAAATCAGCTTATTAACGGAACCCTTAAAGTGATGCGTAAATTAAATTGATATTTATAATTTTCTAAGCTTGATCTCAGAATTTTTTATTTTTCTTTCTTTTTTTTTGTTTTTTATTAAAATCATATAATTAGGCAGAAGTTGTCTCCCTTTCATTTCTTTTGCTTTTCACTGTATTTAGCAACGGATCGGTTGCAATTTGAAGAACGTATTGTTGAAAAATCAAAGCTCTCTCAAATTTCTCGTTTCAAAAGTTTTTGGTACAGAAAATGAAGATTTAAATAAACATATATTTAACTTCTCCACGGTCTCTCTAACAGGAACGGAACGTTTGTTCTTTCGAGAGGGTTTGATTTTTGCATCCCCCCCACCTCTAAAGTAAAGAAGGAGCAAATTTTCGCTGAGTTTGAGCTTTTGTTCTCTCAGATAAACTTGCAAAGACATGCCTCTCTGGAGAAGCTGACCCTCTGTAAAACAAAATTATTCGAATTATCTTCCGATTATGTCATCGCTCTCTGCCGAACCAGATTTTCTCGCTTGGCAGAGTGCCCACTTCCACACTATAATATCGTTAAAACCAGAAGTGATATTTATATCACTAAGCCTGACAAAGGATCCGGAGTGGTTATTCAGAATAGTCAGGATAATATTGATAATGTGGAAATCATTTTACATGATTCCTTGAAATTTCGGAAAATCGGTCCTGCACTTACCTGTGACCATATAAGAAAAATTGAGACGAGGGTACAGAGATGGTTACTGTTTGTATACAAGAGTAAACTCATTTGTAAAATAGAGTATTATCGTATTACACCTGTAGTGTTCCGACGTCTATATATATACGGTTTACCCAAATTGCCTAAAATAATGTTCCCCTTAGACCTATTCATCCAACGATTTCAACATGAAACCCAAATTAGTACGTACCTTCCAGTATAAGATTGAGTAGCTTGAGTCTCTCTTCGAGAGTAACTCAGTCTGTGCATAATTTGGCCGGTGATCATTTGGCCATTAAGAAATATGTGAACAATTCTTTCAATGTTTTGCACAGAGACACGTCCGTTCATCATTTACGTCTCCTTGAAGCGGTTCACATTAAGTTACATCAAGCGAACCTGTGTAAACAGAAGGTGAATTTCATTGACCCCCTCGATCTTTTAGGAGGCTTAGTGGGTACCATTTTTCCATTTTATAGTCACATGGAACTATTTATTTTTATTCGTAAATTATATTACCAATAAATATATTTCAATTGTTTCATTTTACTTCCTCACCTTTTTTTTTGCTTTGTGAATTATAAATATCTTTAATTAATTAATTAATATCATTAATTATGCCAGCGTTTTATTTCTGATGAAGTATTCGCTGAAAGGAGTCCTCAAGGTAAAAATGCTCTCCTGGATTTTTACAACTACTAATTGCTGGTAATTACTTTGTTTGTAATTTGACTATTTATTTAATTTGATTTATGTATTGCGTTTTTCCCTCCTCTCAAAAAACATCTTTTCTGTTTTACTTACACATAGATTTTATCAAATTAGAATTCCAGATGAAACTAAGTTAGTAGTTGTACCATGTAAATAGTAAGATTAATCTGAAGAACATTGATGTTATGTTGAGAATGTCTCCGAATTGTCTCCGCTAAAGCCATTTTCCATTTACATCATTATTTTAAAACTCTGTGTAGATTCAATTAAATTTCAGACGACTTCTGATTTTTATCATGGTGTTCGTCATATTTTCCCTTGGGTTTGTCTTGATACTCTGATTCAGTCCTACTTAATTTTAGCATAGACCCCTGTAACTTGTCCGACTTGTATTTTTTTTTCTTCCTACTCTAATTAAAACTACTTCACTGTGGCCATAAGGAAGAACTTGCCTTCTCTTGTGGGTTCACTGTCGGAAACAATCCTATATGAGTCATTACATTTTCTGCTCGTTTCAATACATTTCAAAGTGGGGCACAAAGTGGATATGATATTTACTGTTCTAATGGACGATGCATCTCTAAGTTGAACCTGATTGAGATCAATCGTAACTGATCAAGCTCATCAGAAATTCGAGGCAAAATGTGGGCTCAATGAATTTCTGTTTTCGAAAGACAAAATGACGGCAAAACTAAACTTATACCGTGAAGTTCCTATGAGATCATTATCAAATAAACATCCAAACGCATTAACTTATGTAGCTGTAGAAAATGTGCCACACATGGCAATGATAAAAGCTTAGATATTAGACAAGATAAGAAATTTTTTTTTGTACTTAGATCAGGCAATACAAGTTAGAGAGATACTGGATGAGGTGGGTGATATGGATGTAAGATGGAGTTGTAAGTACAAGAGAGGAAAAGAGAGATTGTTCCTACACGGTGACTGACAGAATTTTATTATGTATCCACCGATGTCTATAAACGATCTGCGAATATGTGAAAAGAAAAATGAAACAAAAAATCACCCGTAGGCTTCACGATTTTCAAGTCGAAACATTTTCGTACAGAAAATAAATGTCATTAAAAAATGGGCATGCTATTAAATGAGTTTGACTTTATTAAGCACATTAAATAATTTTATATATATATATATATATATATATATATATATATATATATATATATATATATATATATATATATATATATATATATAGTACATAATAAAATCACAAATTACCTCATATGGGGAATAGACCGATTTCAACTGACGAAAGCTTCGCTAGTCATATTCAACCCCGGTATATAAACAAATATATAGATTTATATTAATAGAACATATTGTTTTTATGTTAATGATATTTTTTTTAAATATAGATTATTTTTTCCTTTATTTAAATATATATTATATTTAAATATAACTTGTCGTTGGAAGAGTATTTTGAAGTATGAATTTTGAAATAAATTTTACCTTATCTATATAATTTTTTAAAACCCCATTTTCGTTTCTCTCAGGTTTATTTAACACTTCATTCATCATATAACAGCAAATCAATGTCATAAGTTTGATATCCGGGTTTAATTTTATAAAACTTCTTCCTTTAAGGCTAATACCTTCCACACGTTCTTGACCTCTGAATCGTGCCACTCGCCTGACTGAAACATTGAGATGGATAAATTCTTTATTAGTTTTTCGACAGCTATCACAGTTAAATTTCTAATTCCGACACGAATTCGGTCTATATACCGGGGTTGAATAAGAGTGACAAAGCTTTCGAGGGTTGAAATAGGTCTTTTCCCTATATTAGGTAATTTTTTATTTTATTGCGTGATAATTATCGCTCTGTATATATTAAGTTCTCATTGTGGATCAGTTGTAATATTTTATATTACTAGGATATATATTACTAGGATATATATATATATATATATATATATATATATATATATATATATATATATATATATATATATACATTACCTTTACTATACATATATATATATATATATATATATATATATATATATATATATATATAACTGTCACCTCTAAGTGTTGACTTATATGTTCACTTTTTTATATATATATATATATATATATATATATATACACGTTTCATTAAATAATATAGACAAGTGTTGTCTATTTATTTTATGTAATTTTTTTTCGTAACATCTGATAAGTTTAATAACATTATCGTTGAACGAAGAAAGAAATTCACAATATTAATCCATATTTTTTTCAATATAATCTAAGCTTTCGACTTACTTAAGCCATTATCAAAGATGTCAATTACAACATATTAAGCAATATACGGACAAGACAGTGATGATAGTCTGTCAATGATGATAGTCTGTCTTGTCCGTATATATATATATATATATATATATATATATATATATATGAACGGCCTTAGATACATACATAGTTACATACATATGAATTGGCTGAAATAGATAGATAGATAGATAGACAGATAGATAGATAGATAGATATGTGCTACAACATGTTTTAACAATCAATGTCATATCCATTAAATCTATGCTAAACTAATATTATTCCGCACAAGAGCCTATGATCTGCTATCTTGTCATTGATTTGCTCTAGTTACATTTAAGGGTTTTAGTCAATGTCTGTTGCATAAAATCTCCGATAACCATTCAGTAAATATCCATCTATTTCTCTGTCACTAAATATAATGGAAGCAGGTAGTCAAAATGTCAGGTTAAAAGGAAAAGCCTCGAAGGTAAAAACGCAAGAAAACATGGAAAAGCACCTAGCGCCCTCTACCGGAAAATGTCGCACAGATTATTAATCTAAGAACATTTCCCGGGGAAATCTTGTCAAACAAGCGATGAGAGGAACACATCCCAATAATATGAGCTGAACGACAGACATGCAGACACACACACACATACCATTATAAAGAAAGACGAATGCGTAAGAAAATGTAGAAAAGGCTTAATAGATTTTTCCGTGGAACATAAAAATATATAATCTGATATACAACCTCAGAGCCATGCGCAAATGCTCGTAAACATCTGGAGGTGCGCATGTTGTGAACGTAATCGAGTATGTAGAATAAGAAATGAAATTAACCACTGGAAAATGAGCGATGTATTTTTAGAAGCAGACAAAAACACAGACACTTAGGGATGACTTATATGCTCAAATCCTCAAATTGCCTACGACAAATATTGTAAGATGAAGAGACAAAATATATTAGGATATACGGCAATCAAGCGAAGTTAGGGGACGTGAGTTCATGCCTTTCTTAAAGTTGGTTTACTGACACATGACATATCACTTTTCTGCTCAGAATCCATCTTGCACATTTGTAAATCTACAATTTGTCCGTGTATTGGATATTGCTGTTATATCTTGTTTGTTTTTCTTATATCTTTCTCGAGGTTCTTGACAAAACTCAAAATAGTGCCTATAATGTAATCGAGTTATCCCAACTTCAGTCTCTTTCTCAGCGTTGTGACGTGGCTTTCCTTTGTCTTTCCTAGAAATATTTTCGTGGAAATTGGTATGACAAGATTTCTCTCTTGGTGTCCCGACTACATGAAATTGAGCGTGCTACAAGATTGGCATTTAGGTCCCACCTATTTGAAATAGCTAATAAAAGCAACCGCTACTTGTACTCCAACAATTTCTTTTCTCGCACTTCCAACATATGGAACTCTCTTCCGTTTCCTTGCTTCCCTAATAAATACAGTCTTCAAAAAGTTAAATGAAACATCAATCGCCATCTCTTGTCTTCTTGAATTCCGTTCATCATTTTTCCTTCTTTGTCCGTCTTATTTGCTTTGATAATAATTTCGTCTGATTTTTTAATCCTTGAAAAGCCTTTAGCCTTTCTTTTTTTGCTAATTTAATGGCAGACATTAAGAGATTCCTGGTGGTGGACGGGCAAAAATCACAAATATTGAATTGGATGAACGTACATTCTATCTTCCTTTTTATGCTAGCAAACCATTCTATGGTTTATGCTTGTTTTTTGTTAACTATTTCATTGTAATCTAATTAATAACTGCTGTCAATGATTGTATATCAAAGGACAGGTTTAAACATTTTTTAAAACATCCAAAGAAACTATTGAGGCTGAACTTATCAGCTGGATTAAAGATGATCAACAATTGCTTTCGTAATGTAGTTACCTTGTATCTTGGACTTGTTCATAGAAGATAATTACACCGTCGCCACTGTGATGTCCGCTGTTCTTAATGTCGAAAATAAATCGTAGTTGCCACACGAGCAGAACTTCGCATGCTCCAGCAGAACCAAAGTCACCTATAGTAATGTTAAATTCTCTATTATTTCTTTTCGTCCACAGATAGACATTATGGAATAATATTGGTTTTTCTGAATGCTTTATGATTTTAATTTCGCAATCGCTAATAATTTTTCCTAGTTTGATGGTAAACAGGAGATTCTCAGTGATGGACAGCTAAAAATCACAAATATTAAATAAGAGGAACATACATTCTATCTTCCTAAAAAGAAAAAAAACATTAGAAAACCATTCTATGGTTTATGCTGTTTCATGTCACTGGTTAATTCTAAGAACATCTTTCGTATATTTGTCTGCGCTTTCAGTGAACTTTTTACTAATTTTACTGATATTATTTTTAGTTGCATTGAGTAATCGGTATTGGGAGTTGCTTAGAAACATAGTGTTGATGTCTTTAACTGGTAAATACTTGCTGTTCATGGAATTTGTAAATCCTATCGACAATTTTTAATGCAGTATATTTTTTGGCTTCATTATTGGTATTATTGTTATGAATAATGAAGAATGGTCTCCCCTTGTTTTGTTACTCTCCCCTGTCAGTGAGCTATTTCTCTTTACTGGGACTATAAAAGGACACTATACGCGAACTTTGTATTCCCAGTTACAAAAAGCTTTCTTAAAGCTTACAACCTGCGTACATTTGTCATTACAGTTATTTTCCCAGTTGTTGGGTGGCTTTTCATAGAACATATAATTTCAGTCGCTTCGCTTACGACAAAATTAATAAATATTAAATCCAAATTGTTTGTAAATTTAAAATAGTAAATTTACTTCAAAATATATTCTCTTTAAATATAAGGGTTATAAAATAACAACTCAAATAACTGCACATTTGGACTCAAAACCGTCACTGAAGAATTATCTATCAAACAAAAAATAAAGTCAAATTAAAACTATAGAAACGCATAAAGAACATCAGATAACACACACATACACACACACATTTTGAGAATTATATATATATATATATATATATATATCGAAAGATAGATAGAGAGAGATAGAGAGATGCATGTATTTGTTACTATTAACACACAGTCATCTCTCCACTATAATTAGTCAACTGTATGTTTCGAATGTTAAATGCATCCATTATTATATTTGCTTTCATTCCGTTAGAATCAAAATATATTAGCATTTTTTTCTAACGTACAATAAAAAACACGTTAGTGAAATATAAAATTAATTTGAATGTTTAAAGTTAATTGTGGCCAAATGCTGTCGTTAATTATGGACAATTTGTCCATAATTTGCTCTATTCTCTTTTACTGACTATCGAAATGGAGAAGACATATCCGATTAAAAAATCTGCATTTAAATTCTTTGTTTTTCCTTAAGGTCAGAACTGGTCATTTGCACCAATGCGTCAAATCAAGCTATGCAGTAAAACTTCAAGATATTGTTTTACAAAATATTTACATTTCTTGAATGTATTTTGATTCAATTGCGCCTTGCAAAGCATTTTGAATTCTTTCTTTCCAATGAATATACTCGAGTTTAATTAGAAACTATTAGACAGAGTTTAAGACAAATTCGGAAGTTCAGCTTGACTAAAATTATATCAGAAAATATATATTAGGACATTGAATAAGTTCTCGATGATTTTTTCATGAAAAGTAATGTTTTAGTTACAAAAATTAGTAAGAAACATATTACTGAAAGTATTGTCCATTGCTTGCCACTAATGTTTCCCATTTGAATTCCACTCGGAAAAACGACACGTCTTTTGAGGCTAACCATGAGCCGACCTATTGTTTGGCATCTTCATAAGAATGAAAGTGTTGCTCAACCAGGCCGTGTGCCATCGATCGGAACAAGTGATAATCGGATGGGGCAATATCTGGTGTATACAGCGGTTGAAGTAGGACTTTCCATTTAGACGTTTCTAAGTAGGTTTTCACCTGTTTCGCAACATGTGGCCGAGCAGTGTCATGTTGCAAAATCATTTTGTCTTGTCTCTGCTTGTATAGCGTTTATGTTTTCTTCAATGCCCGACCAAAGGTATCAACTCTAGTCGACAGCAATCTCCTGTGATGGTTTCGGTCGGTCTGAGCAACTCGTAATTACCTACACCTAAATTAATTAAGTACTAACTCAAACCATGGCTATTCGGCTTTGCCGCCGACATTGATGCATGACCGGACTTAACCAACGATCTTCTACGCTTAGGGTTATTGTACTGTATCCACTTTTCATCCCCGGTTTTGATATATTGTTCAAACGCCACATGAGGCCGTTCATAGTCTATCGGCAATGTCCTTGCTTTTGAATCATTCCTAATGCTTTCAAACGTTTCGAAATTATTGTGATTAACTCCTAATGATTCTGCTTGTTCAGCTTGCGCCTGACACGAGTCTTCATGAAGTAATGCATCCAATTCTTCATCTTCAAACTTTTTCGGTGCGTCAGCGCATTCTTTATCTTCAACATCAACACCGTTATTTTTGTAGCGTCTAAATCTCTGCATGTTGTTTCCGACAGAGCATGGTCGCCGTAAGTCTCTATAAGAATTCTGTGTGCTTCAAATTCAGATTTCCTTTGAATAAAGTAGTGCAGTAAAATTTCCCTCAAATACACTTTCTTTGGCACGATATTTGATATGTTTAACGCTATGAAAATCAAAGCTGTTTACACTTCGGCGAAATGACATACACTGAATTTCAAGCATGCTTATAGTACTTTCTTATAGATGCGTTACCATCTGAAACTATACGCACGCAGTTCTGGGAACGCCATCTGTTACAAAACAGCGAGAACTTATTCAATGTCCTAAAACATTTTGGTGTGTGCATGTATAATTTAATACAATGATAGGCTTAAAATAGTTTTACATTATGTAAAAAGAAAACTTAACAATATAAGTCTATTTATCAACAAATAATTCCGAAAATTTCAATAAGATCTTATGATATTGTGTTTGTAAGGTTAAAAAAAAAAAAAACGAACAAATTTTCCGGCGAAAAATTAGTCATGCAGTTTTTATTTTATTCCAATTGAACTGTTTCTGTCTGAATAATAGTTGTAGATAGGTTCGCCTATCATTCTTTTCACTCTTCTCCTTGGTTTATTCTTTGTTTCCTGATTAGGATTAGGTTTCCGATTCCTTCTAAAGTCTTCTAATTCTCTTTCACTCCTAGTAACCACTTGCGTCTTTGTGACATTATCACCTAGCTTTGGGTGAATTGATTAAAAAAAACTTTTCTGAATAATAATTTTTTGTAAATTTTATACTAAGCTCAATTTTTCGTTATGAATAATATCCTGAACATTTAATTTGTGGACAGCTCTCTGCTGTCAGGTGTTAGGTACAAATAGATATAAGCAAATAGATATTGATAGATAGAAATACAGATAGATAGATAGATAGATAGATAGATAGATAGATACGAATATATTGAAGTGAATGATAAATATGAATGGATTGAAATAGACAGACATGAAGAGACTGATATCAATAGATAGAAACTGACTGAAATAATTATTGATAAGAAACTGAAACTCCGTCAGTATAAATTTATATAAATAAGAGAAAAAGGCTATTTTTTTCACTTTTTTAGTTCATTATAGCCGCACACATATGTAAGCAAAAAGACATTTTGACAGCCATGAAGCTGTTGTTAATGCTTCTGTCTCCAAACTTTATTACGCAGCCCAAATTGGTGGTTGTCTAGACGGACTTGGAGTGGAATGCATTATTCCAATATCTTATTTGAAATTCAGCATAATTGTATGCCTTTTTAGCAAAACAACAGAAATACGCATATATATTTAGTACGTGCATGAAAAGTCAAACGCAGACAGTATGCGAACAGAGAATCAGCACTTCTTTATTATATAACATCCGGAATACCCGGCGTTGCCAGTGTGTACATGTCTGCAATTGTATAACCACTCCCCTCTGTATACCCGCACCCCTCCTGTCTAGAAATGTATGTCTACTTCGCCGCTTGTATGTATCATCCGTTGATATATTAAGCGAATTCCCACTCATTTTTTACGGTATGTCTTTCGCAAGTGTTTGATTGTTCTTAATAAAGGAATACCATCGATAAAATCTTCTTGTGCGGTCGCTGCTCGGGGTTAAATTGTTTAAATGTTTTAGATATTCAGTAAATTTCCTATGGTCGTAATAACTTTCAAATAGTATGACATTGTTCACAAATCTAGTATTCAAACAAAAATGGGGGGGGCGGTGAATCAGCAGAGCTTGATTCAACTGCAAGTGCAAACGCGTGAATAGCACCCCTTCTTCGCACGTTGACTGTAAAGCTGGGGTTAATAAGGAATTACTTCGGAAATGTTTCCCTTTTAACGTTTCAATTATCCTTCTCAAATAATCTTTGTATTAAAGGTTATTCAACTGCAAATTTAGTATGGAATCATATGAAGAAACTATTGGCTAAATGGCAAAAGCCGATTTTGGACTTAGTTTGTCTCAGATATCGTCAGCTTCACTGAAATAATCTAAACCAAACATTTAGATATGTTACATACGTGATACACACTTAGGATTCATGTATTTTTCGATACATGACTGACGAGGCAGTTTTTTGTCCCGCAATAGGTTGCCATTTCTTTCTGCAGTAGACCAGTTGCCATACAGTTCCCAAGCAAAACGATAGTGCCACTAAAAAGCAAGGAGTTACTGAGGTTGAATGAAAATAAGTAAGACGTTAGTAAGAAGAAAGTGCAATAAAAGAACACCATTCAGGGGGACAGATTGATGATTAAATATTTGACCGCCCTAGGTATGACGGTAAACTACATCCGCGTCCTGGGTAAGACGATAAACTACATCCACCAGCAATGCCTCTGATCAGGAGATTTTGAGGAGCATGGAACTACTTCTCAATTGCTGATGTTCCCACGTCCACCTTGACCCGGGATGGTAGCACCTGTTGAGGTCCCAGCTATGGGCAAATAGTTGGCACCCAAACTGGAATCAAAACACTATGGAAATGTAAAAATAGGTTTTAATACATACCAGAAATACTTTGATAATAAAAAGTTTACCAGAGGTTGACATGCCGTAACACAAAACAAACCAAGCTAATTAAATATTTGGAGGTCGCAGGTGACAGGAGAACAATAACCTGAAATATAGATTCGTGGGTGAAATATACGAGAGAAGAAGCAAGCAGAGTACAACGGTTGAATCTAGCTATTTCAAGACCCAGTTTTATGTGCTATGTCCTTTCAGAACGTAGACGATCATGGCTCTCCACCCCAACCCCTCTATCCCTTGCTGCTCTCAACAAGTTCTTTCCCTCTGCTTGCTCCCCCCAGACCACGTTCTGTCATCCACTTTATTAAGCCCACCTTTCCCTTGTCTCTCTTTCCCTCTATTCGACCCGTGATTATCAGATTCTCCAGCCCCTCCTTCCTCATTATATGACCCAGAAATTTCAGCTGCCTCTTCCTGATAGCCTATTTCTTGTTTGCAACCTCTCTAAGATCTCATGATATCCTTAGCATTCTTATGTAGAAACACATCTCTGTCGCCTCGAGTTTCTTCTTCATCTTTCAGGAAATTGACTAATCATGCAATATATTCGCATCTATCTATCTATCTATCTATCTATCTATCTCTCTCTCTCTCTCTCTATATATATATATATATATATATATATATATATATATATATATATTTCTATGTATCAATATCAGTTTGCTTATATCTATTTGTACCTAAAACCTGACAGCAGAGACCTGGCCACAAATTAAATGTTCAGGATATTATTCATAACGAAAAAGTGAGTTTAGTATAAAATTTACAAAAACAAAAATATTATTCAGGTACGTTTTTTTTAGTCAATTCACCACAAGTAAGGCGATAATGCCACAAAGACGCATGTGGTTACTGGGAATGAAAGAGAATTAGAAGACTTTAGAAGGAATCGGAAACATAATCCTAAAGAGGAAACAAAGAATAACCCAAGGAGAAGAGTGAAAAGAATGATAGGCGAACCTATCTACAGGAAGAAAGGTGGAAAACTCACTAGAAAAATGGACACGAAAATATGTATAGAAAAAAGAAACAGACTATATGTGAGAGTAATATCCAATGTAAGTGTAGATTTATTAAGGTTCAAGATGGATTTAGGAATTAAATCGTTTCTTGAATATTTTTTCTGTTTCCTATGTAATTCAGGTGATTTTTGTGATTCTTCTGGTCTCGTTGTTCTTTCTTTTTTCATCTTCCCATTCCTTAACCATCTGCCTCTTCAACACACCGGAACTTTTCAGTAACCATTCTTTGCCGGATCCACACTTAAACAGAGATATAAGAAAATTCGTCATTTAAACTCGTTATTATTAACAACGAATGTATGTCACGCATAAACACATATAAAAGAAATATCTCTGTAGAATATTCCAAAGACGCCATCCTGCAAATGAAAGTATACTTCTTTCCATAAGGAATGGAACTAAAATAATTACCTGCTTTTAATTAATATTCTTTAATTAACTCAATTAATGAGTCATTTTCTTTGTTTGCTTTATTTTTGGAAACAAGAACAGAATTTGCCAATTTGATTCTAATAAAGTTCTTTTATTTGTTGCGTCTTGCAGACGGCTTTGTCTTCTATTAGGAAATTGTTGCTTACTTTTTCTTAGTTTTAGTCATTCTTATTTAAGCCGTAAGAATTGTTCCGATTGAGTGCACCAATTATATTTTTTACAGAGACGAAAATGAAACGTTAAATGAATGAAAAAAAAAAGAAAACGAACACGGCAGGAAGCGGATAATTCTTGAAAGGAAAGTGGAAGAAAATGTTTGAATTAAATGGAAATAGAAGAAAATAATAAAAACGGAAGAAAAGAAAGAAGGAAGCACAATGGATGGATGAATGGATGGAAAAAATTAAACTGCAAAAGATAAAATAGTGCATATATATATATATATATATATATATATATATATATATATATATATATATATAAAGTATAATATGTATATATATATATATATATATATGTGTGTGTGTATGCGTGTGATATATATATATATATATATATATATATATATATATATATATATTACATATGTGCCGTACTTAGTGCAAAGTGCTCAATATCAGTGATAGAGATAACATATTCAGTTGCATGAATATGAGTTTGTGATACTGGGTTTCACGTTCATAAGGCAAACTCTTATTTGACTCTTATTATCATATCCATACAACTGAACACACACACACACACACATATATATATATATATATATATATATATATATATATATAGGAAGAAATATAGTATTAATGTGTGCTATATTTATGGGCTGAAGTTCTCAATATCAGAGATAGAGCGTATGTAAATATAAATATAAAAGTGAACATTGAAGTCAACACTCAGAGGCGACAGGCTGTTTTATGCTGAACGCAATCGTCAGGCCTGAGGACTGCGTCCAGCGTGAAGCAGTTTATCATCTTTGAGTGTTGACTTCAATATATATATATATATATATATATATATATATATATGTGTGTGTGTGTGTGTGTGTGTGTGTTATTCTTGGATGAATGTCCAACTTTTCTCCAGCTATGGGTAAAATAGCAGGACAGACTGGGTTCTATAGCCTTTGATGGCAACTGGTCTAGGAGAAGGACAACTCTGAATTCAAAACCTGCGGAGGGTCGTTTGGGAACCTTGTGGCATTCGGTGCACCAGGTCTCTGTATTCGTCCCTTCAAGAAGTGTGGATGGTCCTGCACGAAGCCTTCACCACTATAATCAAATCTCATGTGCCGGTGTCGGGCTGTCTATTTCCTGGAAACTGATCTGCTTGACCCTCATACGTCGAATCTCGACGGGAGAGTCGATTATATATATACATATATATATATATAATTATTTTGCTCTACTCTGTATTGGGCACTCTTTTAAGAATTGGTTATTGGATATTGAGTTTATTCCGTATACACCAATACTGTACTTGTATATATATATATATATATATATATATATATATATATATATTTGTATGTATGTATATATACTTTGGCACCATGTTTTCATTAAGACATGTTTCCTTGAATAATTTAGACTTGTTCTTTTTAATTATTTTCAATTGAATTCCTTTAATACTTGCGGATAAGCTTTTTGCTGTCAGGACGAGAGAAAATCGGCTTGTTTGATACTAATTTCTTTTATTCCGATTTTTATGAAAAGAATAAGCATTAATTCAAAATACTCGAAGCTATCTATATTTAAAAAATTGAAACTAAACCTTAATAAAATTATTTATAAATACTCCCCAAATGTTTTAAAATGTGTACAATAGATAGTTTGCAATGCCATGTCTTGAACTAATAGTTTTTGCACAACTAATTTTGCAAAAAAAATAAGCACGGCCATACTTACCTACCCTTAAACGGTGTCAGCGATCACGCACTGACTCAGCGTTCTTCACTTCACAAGTGAGAAATTTAACTTTCAGATGAACACAATAACTTTGTCTTCGGCAACAATGAACACAACAGTATTTGTCTTGCAATAAAGTGATGATGACAATTTGCTATGCCGAAAGTACTCGGAATAAAAGAAATATGTCTCAACACGGAGATTTTCTCTCGTCCTTCAATCACGACACCAAAAAGCTTATCCGTGAATACGAAAGAATCCAATTGAAAATAAGTATGTTTCACGTGTTTAAATTATTCAACGAGACATATATATATATATATATATATATATATATATAATCTTTACAATTGAAATTAAGATATCTTTAGTAAATGACCATTTTTACTTACGAATTTCAATTTAACTGTTTTCTGCGAATTTTAAAATTAAAATTTGTAGGTGAAAATGGTCATTTACTAAAGGTATCATAATTCCAGTTGTAAACAAAATTTGCTATGTTCAATGAAAATAAACATTGATCGCTTTTTTGTCAGTCAGTTTTAACATATTTCAAATTCTATGTTGTGTTACTAGAACTCGCCTGGTTTATACCAACAGATTACTGCATATATATATATATATATATATATATATATATATATATATATATATATATATATATATATATACTTATTATAACAAACTTTATATTTAGTTAGCAACCATCTGCGATAGTCATCCCAGTTTTTTTTAATGATTCACTAATTAACCACCCGAGGCAGATATCTAGGTGTTACTAGTGAACATAACATGAAATGAATCTGATTTCCTTTTTTACCTGAAAATACATTTAATCCAAATGCGTCTTACAATTAAACTACGAGAAGTCAGTATAGCAAAGCAGAACTCAACCATATCTATCTATTTTACAAATCAAACTATACCTTACATTTTATGGTGACATCATGAGCATTCGACTGTTAAGCTAAATGTTTTAGCTAAATATAGCATCAGTTGTGAATCAATCTAAAATCGCTGTTCTTACGATGAAAAAATTTTCATATCTGATTAATTATTTTATTGTTTAAGCTTCTAATATTGAGTTTTCGTTTAACAGCTTATATAGTATACGGGTGTTTTTTACTATCATTTGTCTTTTGTTGTTCGAGATATTACACTTTGATTCGTGAAGTGACAGGTGAACTTTCGGGATAGATTTGTAGTCATATATACAACGAGGCATGGTGGAGTAATAGATCGAGATTCGGACCGAGGAATCGGAGAGCCGATTTCGAATTCCAGTCGAATCCATTACGTTCACTTACGTGTTTATACCTAAGGACATTTACACGTAATGTGTGAATCCTCTTTTTCTCTCCTCCCTCAACTATGGCTAAATAATAGGACAGATCGGGTTCTGTTTGGCAACTGGTTTACCGCAGAAAGCGATGGCAACCTACTGCGGTAAAATCAGTCTCGTCAATCATGTATCGAAAGATACATGATCGCCTAATCGTGTATAATGCATGGCGCGTAATGGACTGATTTACGAATTTGAATTTTTTGCAAGAAATCTCGAAATTGGAATAAGCAGTTTAAACTGTTGCAGTTTAGTTGGAAGGAAATAAGTTGGCATTATATGTACAAACATCCTCAGCTGATAAGGCCGAATGTTATGCTCGGAAATTCTCATCCGTTCAACGTGATTCGACAGTGAAAGGATGGGAACGAGATGACAACTTAATAGCACGCTTAAATTCATGCAGTTGGGGTACCAATTAAAGTAGCTGGTAAGAGCAGTTACTATGGAAATATTTGTAGAAAAGATAAAGAGAAGCCACATCATGTCTGTGAGAAATTGAATGTAGGTGAGATGCTAGATCAGAACCTATCGCATTGTATATCCATCTCTGGATTTTTTCGAGGAATTCGAGATGCAACAGAAGGGCCATATACGGCTAAATTATTCAGTGTATTGTCGAATCTTAGATTTGTAGATTTGAAGGATGGACACAGGCGCGAAAAACCTTCTGGCCCGACACAGAGAACAAACTTTCCTTGCAGTAGATGAAGCTATAGATTCAACGTAGTTGTTCCACGTCAAGTCAGTGGAAAACGTGAATCCAAGGAGGCGTAGACACACGATCTCGTGAAGCTGAACATCACCCATGTTGATAGGAAACAGGAAGGTTTCTCTATGGAAGGCTTCGGAGAAAAGCTATAAATTTTCATTGTTTCTGTATAGTAATATCAATATACACCGATTTTTTTAACATGGTATTCCTAAGATTACTACCAACAAAAAACTATGAGTGCCTTGCGGGTGGTATATTGACATGTAAATAAATATTGAATGACGGAAGATAACGAATAAAACGAAGATTTTGAATAAAATATATATTGCCAAGTTTGTTTTCGTTAAATATAGAGGGTGGGAAGTGTGGTCATGTAAAACGTCACTTCCTTTTTTCCATTTGTTTAAGAAGAAAAGTATACATATATGTATATTTTTCTTCTCAAATAAATTGAAAAAAGAAAGTGACGTTTCACATACGGCTTGCCTATAAGCAGGATTGTTCATAACCATTTTCGATTCTCACCCGTCGAAGTGCAGTTGAAATGCACTGAAACCAAGTTGCATCTTTGTAGCGGGTAAAATGGTTTTGTCTATATGATAAAATCATAAGAAATAAATAATTATCGCTTTACTATCGGTATCGAGCCCTTTTTTGGATTAATGCTGTGAACATTGGAATTTATATATTACTTTCGTTCTCATCGCATCGGGCATATATATATATATATATATATATATATATATTGGGACAGCAGATCATTATTTGAACATATATTGTTAAATATAACAGAAACGAATGTCTAATATCTTTGATCGTAAGCGGTTCTCAGATTCGTATATTTGCTTTCGTTTTGGGAGAAAATGAACACAAACATATTCGTCGGAGAAGGCAACAACGGAATTGAGATAAAAATAATACTGAGAAGAATGGAGGGATGAATGTAGTCGAAATCCTCATAATAAATATTAAAATATACTACGAAAGCAAGAAGAGAAAAACTTAAGGTAATATTTTGTTAATACTGAAGGAAGGAATATTTACAAAAAGATTGATCAAGAAACAACATTTGTAAATCAATTAATGAACACTGAAGACATAAGACCTATAGGAAGATGAGATTTCTAGTTGAATTAAGTGTTTCATACTAAGAATATAATGAACGTGGAATTGTAATCGAGATGTTTTTATTATAAGGCAAGAGTAAATATCAAATTAGTTCAATTTTGCAATTAAATTTAATTCCTAGCCACCGACAATAAAATGTTCATATAAAATACATTTTTTGAACTCTGATGATTCCTCCGATTGCCTGGTATTTCCAAAAGGCTAATTGAATTCCTCGGAAGAAAATACATTCTTAATTGGAGAACGATTTTCTGCAAGTTGGGCCCTACCTTCCTCATGCCTCATTGAAAAATATTAAAAACATATATTTCCTCTCCCTAATAATTACTACTGGGATCACGTGGTAACAAAGTCACGTGGCCCATGTGACTATATAAAGTTAGAAAAACGTGACGTAAGAATGAAAGAACACAAACTAAGTACATTGCTCTTCTCCCGCCTGTAATGAAAAGTTAATGATATATACATTGTTTGACGAGTTTAACAAGATTACAATATATATATATATATATATATATATATATATATATATATATATATATATATATAAAAGAAATATGTTGTAGTGGATCCAACGAGAGAAAAGTATGTATATTAAAAAAAGAAGAGGGGTGCCGCAAACGTTTTTGGTTGTAATGTGGATTTATTGAGAAAAAATATTATACTTTGTTTTACATAATTTCACGACACGTGTTTCTGGTCTGGTCTCGCAACCGTCTTCAGGTGAAAGTGGAGATTTTTACATATTATTAAAAATAATTAATTTTTCTTCATGTTCAATGTGGAATATTCTCGATATGAGACATTCTGTTTGTGTGTTGGCAATATATATATATATATACGCAAGGGATTAAAGACGGTCAGGGAATATGAGAAAAGTTTAAAAAGTTTTGAAACATTATTAAAGACAATACAAGTACGGGTTTAAGAAAACAGAAGATATCGATTGACATTGCATTTAAATATTTGAAGATCAATGTCCATATAAGACAAGAAAGAAAGAAGCTGAAAAAAAGACCCACAAGCGTGAAGGCCAAGGGAAGAAACTGTTAGCATAAAACTTACGGTTACGTTTACATATTTCAACTGCAATTTGACGAGACTTCACCGTCAATCTAGTTGTACGTTTAAATTCATAATGCCTAGAAGAAAGCTCATCAGTAAAATTAGCATGAAAATAGTTATAAAAAAGTCACAGAGAAGCTACGTTATGGCTGTGAGAAAGTGAATGCCAGATAGATAGATAGATAGATAGATAGATAGATAGATAGATAGATAGATAGAGTGTTGTTTCTCTATTTAATTTATCATAGTGTATATATTGTATCTAAAATTTTTTCCAGATGATCAACATCAAAAATTCTAAAAATACTATATCATAATCAACAAAAAAAAACAGTGACTATTCAATTTAATAGAAATATTTTACCAATTCTTTTTAAGTAAATATATATTATCTATTATATATCGCTATCTGTCTCTATATACAAACATGTACATATCTCTCTTTCTAGCTGAATAACTCAAAAGGTTTTCAGTGATTCTCACAACAAATGCTGTCATGATGGATAAAAGTCTTATCAGAAAACCTGGAAAAAAGAAACTCAATTAGTTTAGTGTTTTTTGTTTTGTTTTGTTTTGTTTTTGTACATATTAAACATTTTGTAGGATGAACAGTTATACTGTTACACGGTTTGGACAATTTTACTGTTACACGTGGTATACAGGTATATATATATATATACATTTAGGTAAAATATTTTCATGTAAATATATTTTGCTGAACAATAATAGATATGTAATCTCTACTTATTTTATATCGACCCTAGCAAGTTGCTTGATTTGTTTCTTGATATTGAGATTAAATCCTTCAAGAAAGGCGTCATAGTTGGGCATATAAGTTATATTGATAAAGATACTTTGTTCATAGACATCAACTGGCTGTTTATATATATATATATATATATATATATATATATATATATATATATATATATATATATAGAGAGAGAGAGAGAGAGAAATAATAGACAGAGAGAGCCAATGAGTGAATGCGAGAGAGTAGTAGTTATTCTCAAAAATAGATAGATAGATAGATAGATAGATAGATAGATAGATAGATAGATAGATAGATAGATAGATAGATAGATATGAATTCATAGTGAAAACGAGATATAAACGTACGTAAATTGATACGAATAAAAAAGAAATATATCAATGCATACATTACATATATATACTGAGGTTAACAACCACATCACTGACTAACTAACTTGATATAAAATACGTATGATATATGAATCAAACATCGAGAATTACATCTAAATTTAAAGCCATTCTAATACTCAAGATCAGGGGGTGTCCAAACATTTTTTTCAGAGAATGCCAGATTCGATCAGGTGACTATGCGTGTGAGATGCTTGGCATCTTTTGAACCATTAGAATTAAATGCAAAAGAACTATCTTATGATATTTTTATTGCAATGACATATATTCATTTCTTCATATGAATGACAAATAAATTTAAACAGGTCTTACCAAAATCACTCAGCTCGTCGTCTCTGAAACCCATTTAAGATGAAGTAAAGTATGTCTAAAAGTACTTCCAGGAAGCTATATCTCAGGTTAATCTTAAACATTACATATTATTCGTAATTAATATTGTCTGTCAACTTTTAAGTTAAAAGCATATGAAGAGAAACGTAACACCAACATTCATCTTATTAAGAAATAGAAAACATAAAGTGGTACAAGTCCAAGTGTAAAAATATATTTATAAAGGATTTTGACCAATTGAAAGCAAATTTACGAAGATTTTAGAATTTATACATCTCAGATGACCAAAAACAAATAAATTTCTTGCACTTACGTGAAGGCTCACAATGAGGTCTGGACTGTAGTATGTAGGCAAAATTTGCTTCAAAGGTAGTGATTTTAGAAATTGTCAGGAAAAGGCCTAGATCAGAGTTTCACCGCCAGAGGGCGGCCACCCAGCGCTGCTGCCATCTTTTGACAAAACATGCGTTTTTTAGGTGTGTACTTTACATATTCTGATCGACAATACTGACGGGCCGTCAGTGACACATTTTACGACGGAGGATGATGGCCACATGAAATTTGCCGGGGGGCTTATTTGACCCCCGTGCCGGAATTTAAACATGTCTGCTCTAGATGGAGGGAATTACCTCTTGTTTGAAATATTTTAGTACCTTATATCCGCTATTCTTCGAGAATCAGTACCCAGATTTTCCTGAAAAATCTTTAAAAAATGCATACTATCGAGAAATGGAATTTTCAACATTTTATTGAATTGGAATATTAACAAATTACATCTTCAGAACGATTTCCATCATTTCTGATGAAAAGCTTGATGAGTTCTGCAGGATTCACGTCAACTTGATGCAATAACTCCACATTGCTGTCAATGTTAGCACATTGACTCTTTATGCGTTCAGTCAAGTGTGTTGCATCTGTGATTTTCATTGAGTACACCTTCTCCTTTAGCATACCTCAGAAAAATATTCAATACTTTCTTCTTCCGACAAGACCATGTTTAATCTGTGCAGGTAAAAAATATAGTTAATGAGATTTCCTATGTACAGGCTTTAGGACATCCTGTATTTCAATAACCAGAGAAAACATTGATTGTTGGTTGGGCTTATCAAACTCTATGCTTTATTTTAATGCCAAAATCTAAATACTTTGTACGCAATTATATTTATTTTTTAAGGTAATGGGTTTAATAATACAATTCTTACAAATTAACCTATAGCAATGAGGAGAATAGGTAGATACATACCTTTTACCGAGTAAATATAACGAAGCCAACTGAAATTGAAATTCAATTCTCCGATTAACAATTTCGAGCTATTATTTATTACACCATTATATATCCAAGACTACAGCAGCTGGTTTTCCTAAGCAGGCACCCATCTAGGTACTAAACAGGCTCGACATTGCTTAACTTCGTTAATAGTACGGGAACCGGTTTTTCAACGTGACATGGATATATAAGCCTCCAAGCAAATGATGACTTATTTTGGGTAATAGGTTGGACAGAGTAACTTTGAGCGGACCATCGTATATATCGCCATATTAGTGTGAAGTTCATATATCACGGGTGATTTAAGACGTTTCGCCGATTGATAGACAGTAGAATGGACTGAACGTCAAGAATTCTTTAATCTGGTCAAAGCACTTTCTTTAATGAAGTGACAAATGTCAACAAATTTTGAAATTGCTTGTCTTTTCCGAAGAGGATTTCCCAAGCAAACACAGGTGTCCGCAGTCAATTGCCAGACACTTGTCTGATACTTTCATCCGGTGCATTAATAGAAACAGTTTGAATTAACGGTTGCAGATTGAAAGATTTATGTATAGCTTAATAAACATATACATTACGAAAGATTTATAGTTTCCCAGAAACATCATTATCGTATGTGGGTGTGCCCGCGTGAGTATGCGTATAATGGCTTGCGTTAAGCAAAAGCGTCATAGACAGCTGTCCTAATGGTAGATAGAAAGAAAAAATAAAACTCTTAAGATAGATGCAAAATGGTTTCTAAACATATCAATATATAAAAGTAGGTTATACATATATATATATATATATATATATATATATATATATATATATATATATATATATATATATATATATATCAACCTTACCTTGTTTAACAATGGTAGACGGAATGCCAAAAACGGGGTCTATCAAGAAATAATCTTTAAAATCGTACGTGAAACCTGTGAGGCAACTTGTTACTCCAGGACAAAAAGTTAGAAGGTTAGAGAGGGCTAAGATCATCTTGAATAAGTTGGACATTCATCCTAGAATAACACACACACACACACACACACACACACACACATATATATATATATATATATATATATATATATATATATATTGAAGTCAACACTCAAAGGTGATAGACTGTTTCATGCTGGACGCAATCCTCAGGCCTGGCGATTGCGTTCAGCATAAAAACAGCCTGTCGCCTCTGAGTGTTGACTTCAATGTTCACTTTATAATTATATTTACATACGCTCTATCTCTGATATTGAGCACTTCATCCCATAAATATAGCACACATTAATATTTTATATTTCTTCCTATATATATATATGTATATATATATATATATATATGTGTGTGTGTGTGTGTGTGTGTGTGTGTGTGTGTGTGTGTGTATCTATAATAATAATAATAATAATAATAATGATAATAATAATAATAATAATAATGGCCACTCGTATCTGAGGGTGCCCGTTTTCTAAGGAGGCTAGCCAATTCCTGTTGTAGATGCTAACACAGAACCTATGGATTATACTGCATCTATGCTGAGAGTACTGTAGTTAGAGTCTTGTGAACTATCTCGTTATATAGCGGGATCAACAATCTGAACAAGGAGAGCTCGATCAAACCCTCGGTCACGATGACTTGTGACTTCGTGCTTGCACAACCATTGGCGTTTCCTAATGGTTTCGTCTACTCGTAAGGCTTGGGTCAACCCGTGGTATGGGTTTCAGGTACTTTCCAAAGGTGCAACTCGCTGAGATCGCCTCCTCCAGGTCGATAATATCAAGAAGTCACCTTTCTGACAAATCGATTATGGTGAGATTCGAACCCATTTCTCATTGCTTTTCAAAGAGTGAAGTGATTAAAAAAATATACATTTCTGGGCATTTGTCAGAGGTAATAATATTTTTTTATGTCTTTATCTTGCAGCTGCTTCTTCGATTTTTCTCATATACGGATCCTAACCCAACAATATTATTATTCGTGTATACATTGAGTTTAAATTCAATAGAAACGGTCTATATTTCTCTTTTCGTATCACATTCGCTTATTGTAATTTTTCGGTAGAGATTGGCATAGCAAATGATGCCTTCCAGAAATTAAGCAATGTATTATGAGATAGGAAAACTAGAATGAAGTGAAAGTCTGTTGAACCGCTATGTAATATTCCCTCTCTGGCGTGACAATTTTTCCATGTCGAACACAAGACACGAAGCGACAAAATGTAGATGCATAGTTTTCCATTTGCTGTACACAAGAAAAACGAGGAATATTTATAGGGAATGGAATCGGAAAAGTCATTTGTACTTAAAATAAGGAATTCCCGGGGTGTATAAGGAAAGAAGGTTTGGATAATTTAACATTCACGCATTGAAGGCAAGATGGGAGAGGAAAAAAACGCGTAAAGTATCTGACGATTTTTTCTTCTTGTCAATCCATGGTAGTGCCACAAAACAGAAGGATGGTAAAGAGTCAAAAGTGGCTTAGATCCCTAGAAAACTGGAAGTTTTGGAGAGCCATGATACACTACTTAATTGAAGATAATAGATATTCAGTGTTTTGTAATAATACTTAAATATTAACTCTTCCGACCTTTTTTTGATAATAATATGTTAAGAAATATAATTCATATATTATATTTAATAATAATAATAATATCTTAAGACATTAACTCCTACCAAACTTTTTAATAATAATATCTTAAGAAATATTATTCATATATTATATTTAATGATAATAACGTCTTAAGAAATATAATTTATATATTATATTTAATAACATCTTAAGAAATTAACTCCTACCGACTCTTATTTTAATAATAATATCCTATGAAATATAATTTATATATTATATTTAATAATAATATCTTAAGAAATTAACTCCTAACTACCTTTTTTTTTATAGAATATTTCATCTCTGGATTTCTGTTTGTATTTACTGCTGATTTTTTTTTTCTCTTTTTATCTCGTTTAGATTTATAGTTTTTCTCATTTACGTTAATATTTTTCGTTTGATTTTTTATGTCTTTTTTGTGGTTTCATTGTAGTTGTCTTATTTTTCTTCTTTCTGTAGGATTGATTTTTTTTTTTTAAGAAAATTTTCTTTTGTTTCTGTTTGCAGCGTTTTGCATGATGTGTGGGTGGTAAAATAGGAGAGCCAAGTATGAATTCATGACGATCTCATTAGATTCACTTGCGCGTAAATAACCCCAGGAAAGATATGAAACTATATATCTTCTGCCCCATCTATGGGTTAAACAGTAGAGTATTTTTCTTGAAAAATCATTATCTGCAAGATAGTGTTAATGCAATATTTACTTGCAAAAACAAATATTATTGCAATCCAATCTAATCCTCAAAATAGGTTTCGGCTTTAAATAACCCACAAATGTTGAAAAGTCGTAAAAAAAAAATCAATAAATAATATTTTTGGCTTCATTTTCTTTCTTCCATGTTTATTTTAGCGATACATTCTTAAGGAAGATTGAAATCCACGTCATTGTTTCCTCTGGCTTAATGTATGAGATTCATTTTAATCTATTTTTCCCTCGCTTCGAATGCCTTACGTACTCTTATATATATATATATATATATATATATATATATATATTATATATTTATATATACTCCTTTCTTTTCATAATTTTTCCTTGAATTTTACTCACCTGCTTTCTTTGAATCCTCGATTATAAATTTGTATCTGTTTTCTTTTTCTTTTTAAAATTGACTTTTTCATCTTTCTTTCTACTGTTTCTCAATTCCTATGATTTTTTTCTTCCAGTTCACACCTTTCCATCATGTCTACCTCATATTTCTACTCTCGACCTTACTGTTGGACACTTTAAGAGAAGAACTCTTTCCCTTTCTTTAAATCATCTATTTTCCACAAATGCTTCTTCAACTCTTCCAGACGCCATTTTCCGTGTAATCCTTCATCTTACATTAAATTACATCTCATAACTCATTCAGCCCCTTGCTATTATTACTGCCTCCATTTTTATTTTTCTGAACAAACTGCCGTTAAACAAGAGACAAAATGCGACATATTTTCTGGCTATCTCTTCTCTTATCATGCTTACATCTACCGACATTTTTGCAACCTTCTACAGACATATCTTATCCCCTCTTTTCTAAATCTTTCACCCTTTTCTTTGTCTTTGACTCACGTCTCTAGATTTGTCTCACAAATATGTATTCTACATCTCAGTTGAAATACGCCATATCTTAGAACATCAGACAACTATCGCTTCTCAGCATTTTCATTATTTAAATGCATATAAATATTCTCCAACCTTTCGTTAGAAAACTTTCTTTTGTACATTATTTACATTATTCGGACTATTGTCTTCATCTTTGTCGCCATATTTATTAGAACGTTTCGACCGTTGTACGCTCCGGCCTTCTTGGTTGGAATGTCGAACTGAACCCTTTATTTCGCTCAATGGGGTAGACTGTTCTAGTTCCACGTGCTATGTCTAATGGATGTCAGTTATTTCCGGTTAATTTCCCTCTGAAAGTTCTCCACTGCCTTATCCGGGTATTGAACTCACACACTTTGAGTCCTGTCACTGAATCTAACGAACGCTTTTATCCACTGTACCATGTGTCCTTGAACATGGCACGTGGAACTAGAACAGTCTAGCCCAGTGAGCGAAATAAAGGGTTCAGTTCGATATTCCAACCACCCGAAGAAGGCCGGAGCGTACAATGGCCGAAACGTTGTAAAAATATGGCGACAAAGATGAGGACAATAGTCCAAATAATGTAAATAATGTGCATAATAACTCAACTCAGAAATATGGACAGAGTCTTTATATATTTTGTTTAATGGATTTAGGGTCGTGTCTCAGATCTCTGACGGGATACTCAGCTCAGTTGTGAGCAAAAGACGAAAGACTGAGGTTCAAATTTATTACGACTATTTCCTTTCTATTCTAACATATTAAAGATGAATTAATTTACAAGTTTTTATGACTCCTATTTTCGCTCCATCTCGCAAAAGCTAAAGAAAGTTTCCGAAAAAATTAAGTGTTAAAACAAAAATAAATTCTGATGACGCCTACACTGAATCTATCATAAGGATTCAAGAGATGCAATTATTAAATACTAAGCACGTCAAATAGTTCGTATATTGATCAGTTATAAATTTAGTACAGGAGTTAAGGAGATTGAACATAGAAAAGGCTTCGAACGTGGTAATCTC